AAATCCAATTTTGATTATTATTCTGTATACCAGATGAACTATTTTTTGGTGTGATGGGAATGAACCCAAACCCTTGTACACACTATGCATCCTACTACAGAGCTACACTCCAAGCCCCTACATGAAGTATCTTACTTGGCATTGTTTTAAGTTAAAAGTCATAAACTATTGTGGCTCTTGAAGAAAATAAACTCTGTGTCACTATATATAAATTGAAAGGCCTTATTTTTTTCAGTATCTGAAAGTTACAAATACTATGACATTTCACTCAAAATGTGGTACCACATATTCTATTGCATTATCACACTCGAGAAGTTTAACACTGATACTCATTTAGAGTCCCTTAGTGTTACATTCCATTATCATTCCAAACATTTTACAGATAATCAAGGATCACTCATTGCATTTGACCATCATATCATTTTAGTTCATCTTATACTCAAATTTTGTTATAAATGGCATGGGCCATGGTTAAGAGTTCAGTCCAATTGTCTTGCATCAGGTCTCACAACTTGGATTGTCTGATGGTTTCTTCATGATCAAAGTGAGGTTATGAATTTTTGTCAGGAACAATATAGTGTGACAAAAAGGCTTGTAGAGATTTACATCCAGATGGGAGGAATAACAACTAGCAAAACCAACTCCTCCATGAAAGCAAAGAGGAGAGTGGCAAATGTTATCAGGGTCAACATTTTTAGACCACTGAAAATTAATCTAAGGCTTGATAAAATCTGAGAGGCTTTTATAACAGAAAAAATGGCCAAATCACAATAAAAAACAGTGAATACAAGGGATTGAAACTTGTTGTATTACCATGCCTATACTGGTTACTTTTCTGTTCGTGTGATAAGACACCATGACCAAGCAACTTATAGAAGGACGAGTTTATTTGGCTGGCTTACAGTCCAGAGGGTTAGAGTCCATAATGGTGGGGGAAGGCATGGCTGCAGAGGGTGTGTGGAGCAGAAAGCCAAGTGACCACATCTTCAAGCAAGCACAGGAAGCAGAGAGGGACTGGAAATCTGGCAAGGATTTAGAACTCTCAAAGCCTGCCCCAGGGATGTGCTTCCTCCAACAAGAGAAGAATGAATACACAAATCATCATACACTAATATAATTTTTAAAATGCACCAGTAAGAAAATTGAATGCATTGATATATACAAAACCATAAATGGATCTTAGTGGCCTATGCTGAGTGAAATAAGCCAATCTCAAAAGGTTATAAACTGTACAGTTCTATTTATATGACATATTAAAAAAGTTAAACTACAGGAACAGTGAACAGAGTAGCAGTTGACAGAGGATAGGGGTTAAAAAGAATTTGATTACCAATGGGCATCATTAGAGAATTTTTGAAGGGTATAGACCCACTGCATATCCAAACTGTGGTGGCTATATGACTCCACACAAATCTTTTCTTTTTATGTGTATGAGTGTATTGCCTGCATGTGTGTAAGTGCACCTGTGTCATGCAATACCTTCGGAGGTCAGAAGAGGGAATTGAATCCCCTGGAACTAGAGTTTTGGACAGTTGATAGCTGCCATGTGGGTACTGGAAATCAGATGCAGGTTGTCTTCAGGAGTATCAGTGCTCTTAACCGCTAAGCCATCTCTCCAGCCCTCCACATGAAACTTTAAAGTTCTAGAAACAGCCAGATGTGGGGGCACATACCTACAATTTCATACTTGGGAAACAAGGCAGGAGGACTACCATGAGTTTGAGAACAACCTGATCTATAAAAATGAACACCAGGCCAGCCAGTGCTACATAATGAGAGCCAATCTCAAAAGAAAGTTCTACAAATGTGTAACAGTATGTATTAGTCTGTGTGTCTTGATTGTGATGGTAATTGCACAGATATATGTTTGCGAAAAGACTTAAAATGGGCAGATGTTATTCTTTGTAAATTTCATCTCAAAAATGCTTATGTTAAAAAAAGTTTCCTGGGGGCTGGAGAGATGGCTCAGTGGTTAAGAGCACTGACTGCTCTTGTAGAGGACCTGGGTTCGACTCCCAGCACCCACATGGCAACTACGAACCATTCTTAACTCCAGTTCCAGGGTAATCAGAAGCCCTCTTCTGACTTCCATGGCACTGTACAACACGAGTGCACTCACATGCAGGCAATATACTCATTCACATAAAATAAAAATAATAAAGAAAATATTTTTTTTAAAAATCGACATGTGTTTTCCCTCATATGTGGATCCTAGGATCAGACCCTGATAAATAAGTATGCAAACAGACATAACTGCAGGAACCAGGACAAGGGTAAGGAAACAGTGAGTTAAATGAAAAGAAATAACCTGAAGGAGAAGAATAGTAGGCAACAGACCTTAAGAAGGGAGATATGGATAAAAATTGGGTCAGTTTAAGGGATGGGGAGGAAAGGATATATGAGGAACCTAGGGTATAAGGAGAAATAAGAAGCTCAGCAGAGGTAGGATCATAGGAGCAAGGGTATTAGTAAGGAAGAAAGGGGGGAAGTGGGGGCAAC